GTTAAAGATTTAAAACCCATTTATAGGATCTGGGCGAAAATCTTTATGAGTACGTTTTTCCACAGAAAACCTTCCAACTCTCCAGATTATGTGAGTTCTGAACATTTGTATTTTATGTACTGCATTAGCAAAAATGTCAAAGTGGATCTACCGTATCTCATATTCAGTCATTTACTAACTCATGTCAAAGAAACCAGAGAGGAAGTAAGGGCGAAAGCTGGTAAAGTAAGGACATGGATACCCCTGGGAAGGTTGATTTCTGATATACTTGTTGAGAACAAGCTGGTTCAACATCTGACTGATGCGAAGATTACAGAAGATCTGACTCACATCATTGGCTCTGAAATTAATGGACTCAATCTGAAGAGGATGAAAATCATCTCAGAATTGAAAGGACAACTTAGGAAGATCAACTCTGACGAGATTCAAGGTAGAAGAATTCCTGTGGAAGATTTTCCACTATTCAGTGCAGATGAACCTAAGGAATTTGTCTGGTTGTACATTACTGAATGTCTAAAGGAAGGAATCCCTTTACCAGCCAATCTCGTTCAGAAGCCTGGAGAAGAATTGCCTAATCAGATGAAGGAAAGGCGCAGTAAGAGGAAGGCTGACGAAGAATCCGTTCAGAAGAAGAGAAAAGCTCCTGAAGCGTCAAGAAAGAAGAGGAAAGAAGGAAAGAAGGCCAGAAGCAGTCCAAGAGAAGCTACTCTGGAAGAAATCAGAGACACCATTCAACAGGTATTAGCCTCTGATCCTACTCCTACTGTTCATTCACCACTATCTTCACCACAACTCTCTCCAAGCCTCATACCAAGAACTTCAAAATCCAGAAAGTCTGTCAATATCTCATCCGAACCACTATCCTCTGAACCAGTAAATTTACAATCATCTCCAGCACCAATTCCATCTGACCCACAACCTCAAATTATTCAAACAGAAATTCCACCACCAGAACCAATTTTATCTGAAAACTCTCCAACAATAACTCCACCAGAACCAACTCAACCAGAAAATTCTCCAACAACAACTCCACAACCAACTTTGTCGCAACTAGAGAATCCCCACTTAGAGACTCCCCAACCACAAACAATTATTTCAGAACAAAATCAACCAGAGACTGTTCAAACTGAACACTCTGAACAAGCAATTCCCTCAGAAGATCCAAATCTGTCTGACAATATTCTTGATATTCCACCCCTAAACCAAACAATTGAAATTTCTTCTACATCTGTTCACTCAGATGAATCCTCTGATTCATCTGATTCATCTGACTATGATTCAGAATCACTCAAACAAGCTCGCTCTGAGAGTGTTATGAAGAAACATCTTAACATTGCTTTGTTTCATACCCCACCAAACTCTCCATCTCAACAACCATCTGAAGCTCAACCCTCTGACACTCAAACAGCTGAAAACCAAACCATTCCACAACCACCTGAAACTAATCCATCTGAGAATCAAACTTTTCCTCACTCAGCTGAACTCCCTCAATCTGTCATCCACACATCTCAACCATCCACACCTCAACCACAACCATCTGAACCTACTCCTGCTAACACCCCTAATCCTTTTTCCTCTGGTCAGAATGAACAGTCAGATTTAGGATCTTGTGTTAATGCTATGTTTGATATTTTCAAAAAGGAGTTAGATTCTGAATATGATCGTGTTAAGGCTGTATGCATGTCTAGTTTGGACCCAAATGTTTCGAATACTGCTTGGAAGCGCTTCATCTGGATGTTTAACAAAGCTGCCCTAAAAGTGAGAGCAAAATGCTCTAAGCTTGCTAAGACAAAATTTGCTGAGTTAATAAAGGTAACACTGATGAACATGCCTCCTCTTCCTCCTGTGTTACTATTGGAAGCTGCTCCTCCAGTTGTTCCTGATTTTGAAATGGTTGAACAAGCTTCTGTTGAAAACCAAACTGAAGGGAACCCTGCTGCTAATGCATCTGCTCCGTCTTCATCTGTGGTTTCTGAACTTGTGAATGATGTGAAGGATATAAAGGACTGGATGATCAAGCAAGAGAAAACAACTGATGAAATCAAGACCTGGATGTCTAAGCAAGAAGAGTCAGCTGCCAAGATGACAGAGCTTTTGACCCTCATTGCCTCTCGCCAGACCTAGTTTTATTTGTTGTTTTGCACATGAACTGAGTTTTTGATGTTTGGTTACTTTTATTGTGTTATGTGTTTTTGGCCTCTGCCTGTTTGTCTGTGAACTTTGGTTTGTTTTGTTTTTTAGATGCATGATAACATGGTTTGCTCCTATTTGCTTCTTTTCTTTTATTTCTTTCTGTCGTTGAAAATCTTTTTGATTATGACAAAAAGGGGGAGAAAAAGAGAAACTGAGTGTTCAACCTATAAGCATTTACCAAAACTAAAATTCAGACATTTTATTAACCTATTTGAATTTAAGTCTTTCAGATTACACTGTTATATCTGACATAATTCATTGAAGTTACCCTGAGACTGTGTCAACCAGAACCTGATTCTCTAAAGAAAATCTGAGTATTCAATCAACTCTGATATCTTACTCTGATTTATTTATTCAATCAACTGGCATCAAGATTTGACTCTGAACTCATTCATCAGGCTCTGAATCTGAAATATACTCAATCAGAAAGGGAAGTATTCTATTCTAGTGTTGTATTTATTTCAGGGGGAGACTGTTTATCTCAGGGGGAGTTTCAAATTTTTTACTCTTTATTGAACAAAATTTTCTCATGTTTTGTCATCATCAAAAAGGGGGAAATTGTAAGAACACAGATTGTGTCTTAGTTATATCTCTATGTTTTGATGATAACACCTATAAATTTTGTATTCAAGAATTATATACTCTAAACGTGTTCTAGATTGTTTGCTACAGGCACTAAAGAAAATTATCTTAAGAAAGCAAAATTGCATCTGAACATTGTTTGTATGAAAGACTTCATAAGTTCAAGAGCATCTTAAGTGAAGATCTGAACACTGCTCCCAGAAGAATCTGACTACTGTCTCTTGAAGATTCTGAAGAAGGAGCCTCTAAAGCATAGAAGACTCTGCTCTGAAGGATTTACACGCTCAAGCATACAAGCTGCACATACTCTGATTCAGCTCAATCTGAAGAACTTTCAAGACTCTGATGATCCAGATGATCCGTGGTTTGAAGACTCTGAAGATTCAGATTCTAATGTTGAAAGCTGAACTTACTGTGAAGAAGATTTAAATATGTACGTTGGTTTTTCTCAACAGCTCTTTCCTATTTTGTGCTAGACACAAGGACACAGACAAAAAGGTTTTATCTGTGCATTCCATTCTGAGGAAAGTATTCTGCAAGTGAAGACAAAAAGCATCAGGCCTGTTTTAGCACAGCCTCCAATGTGAAGACAAAAGGCTCTAGGCTTTTCTGCACAGCCTTCAACGTAACAAGACTTCTTGGATCTTAGTGCCTATATAAAGAAGTCCACTCCATCTTCTTCAGCATCGAATCTCTAGCAAAATCACTCCTCAAAGCAAATCTTTCAAAGCTCTTTATCATATTACTTTGCTTTATTTTTATTCTTAACTTAAGAGAAATATCACTGTTGTGATAACAGCTTATTAGAAGCATTCTTACTCTTGTATAAGTTTTACGTTGTTTGTAAAAGGTTTTCCTTAAGAGGATCCAGTTGGGATCAGTTGCTCTTGAGAAGACTAAGAACGGTTGTTCTTAGGTGTTGCTATTTGTAATCTGTTTGATTAAAATAGTGGATTAAGTCCTTGACAGAGAAAGGCAAATCACTCTTGAGAGGGTGGACTGGAGTAGTTGTTTTCAACGAACCAGGATAAAAATATTTGTGTTCTAATCTTTGATTTTTAGTTTTACTTATTCAACCCCCCCCCCTTCTAAGTAATTTTCTCACCTTATGCTGACTTAGTTTCCTTGTCACAACTTTTGTGTATTACTCTTAAAATTTTCATGCCTAATTCCTACATAATAGCACACAAATCAAAGCAACCAAGAAATTTTCACATAATGATGCATATCAACAAAAACAAGAATGATTGTAAACACTTTCTCTATAAAAAAGAATGAAAGATGCCAACATTTGATAGATTAAATAAGCAAAGTTTGGCATCTAACACTCTCTTCGTCCCACAATGAATGGTCCAGTTGACCATTTCATACATCTTAAAAAAAGTGTAATAATTAAAGAGAGAGAATGCAGTTTTTACTAAAGTACTTTTTATCATGTTTTTGGAGTGATGAAAGTGGTAATAATTAAAAGGTACAGTTGAAAAAAAATAATTTGCATTGTAAATTGAAATTGTTCATTTATTTTAGGATATTTTATTATTTCAAATGGATCACTCGTTGAGGGACGGATGGAGTATAATTTTTCTATTCTAAAAAATATTAAACCCTATAATAAAACTTAACCATGCAAAACATCAAATATATAGCCATTGTGTACTCATATGTTTTTTCAACATAGGTTTGCAAAGGAGGTTTGAGAAAATGTTTTCAAGTGAATGAAGTTGCGTAAATATATTGTTAAATGAAGAGGACTATATCCATTTCATGTTGTTTAATAGTTTATTTAAAGGCAAAAACAAGAAGAAAGCAAAATGATTAGTTTCGTTTGCCATAACTCGAAGCATGTGGAAAATAAGAAACGAATTAATGTTGAAATTAAAGAGGAAAAGAAGACATTCAAAAAGTGATGAGTGATATCGAAGATATCTCATGGTGCAGGTAAAATTATAAGGTGGATCAAATGTATAGATTTTATGTAAAAAAATTGATGGAAAAAACTTTGTATGTGCTTGAAAAACTATTAGAATAAAATAAATAAACAAAAACAACAAAGTAATATAATCAACACATTACCAACTTTTATATATAAAAAAATGTCTTTAAAACATAGTACCATATAATAAAAGAAATCATACTTCACGTCATACAGAAACACAACAACAAGAAATCAAACATCTTACTTAAGTTATTTCAAATAACAATTCCATGCAACTAACAAGATAATCTTATGGAAAATAATCATCAGCGCCATCATTATCATCATCATCATCATCATAATATTTATAATTCCCCTCATACATCTTCCATAAGTGAACTGAATTTTCAGCATCCACACTAGCAATCATCATATCTTCACAAGGATTCCAAGAAAGGTCATTTATTTCCCCTAAATGACCACCATGAACAAAAAGCATTTCCGGTGGACCATCTTCAGCATCCATTTCATTTTGCATAGCACCAATCTTACCAATATCCCAAACAATCACTCTCCTACCATAACATCCAGAGGCAAACATTGTCTCGTTATTTGGATTCCATCCAACCTGAGAAACACCTGCATCTAATTGCTTAAAGGTGTGAACACATTCATACATATCATTGCTTTTACATATCTTTCTTGTATCCCACAGTTTTATTGTTTTATCACTAGAACCTGTAATAATTTTCCATTCATTGAAGGGATTAAAAGATAAACAATTGATTTTTTCAGAATGAGCAACACAATATTGAACTGGATTGTCTATTATTGGAGCTCTAACATCCCATAAATGCAAGTATTTTCCTCCCACGGAGCCAAATAAATTTTCATCCTTTGAATTCCATGCTACATCATTGGTTTCACCTTCATTAATCTAACAACAAATAATAATTGATAGGGTTAGGTTTTTATATAAATATAGATGGTATTAGGATACTTACAAAACAAAACTAATATAAAACTTAAATTCACGTATAATTAAGTAAAACAAAAAGTATGTAGCATCAAATTTTGATTGTCTAAAGATTATTATATAAAGTTAACACTCCCTCTTGTATTTATTATTAAAAAAATATTTTTACTTATCTATTAAATAACCAATATATATGAACCAAATACAGATTAGATAGATTAGATACACCGTTTATTTAATAAATTCAAAATTTAAAAAACAAATGACTATGATAAAACAAAGTTGTAAAACAAATACTAAGATCAAAATAATTAAAGAAATTTTTTTTAAAATAAAAATGAACAAATATATTTTTATATAATGAAATCAAACAAAAATTTGATGTACCTTAAATTTTTGTAAGGGATTGAGGGTAAGATTGTTGGGAGTGTCATTAATATCCCAAATACAAATATTACCATCATAATCACCACTTAGCAAATGGCCACTCTTGAAATTGCTCCAAGACAATCCATAACCATCGGCTTTATGACCAATCAACCTTAATTCAGGGCGTGCAAGATCATCAGAATCCATAGGCAATTGTTTCTCGATATCAAAAATACAAACCACGCCGCCATTCGTCTTAGTTGCAATAATTGAATCTTTTTTAGGCATGTAACGAGCAATGTTAACATCCCCGTCATGATTGATCTTCTTGATAATCTTAAAATTATTGTCACCATTCACATCATTGTTGTTGGGACAGCCAAAATCGCTTGAATAGTCTTGATCCACATTCTCATTAGGAATTTTGGCCTCAGCTATTATTAGGTAACTTTGGTCGTAACCGTTGGTGTAGTTGCCCAAAATGATCTTCTGAACTGAGTAGTTCTTACCTTCCGGTTCATCGCGGACCGGAAGCCATTGAAGTGTATGGGAGGGCCACTCAAGTGCTTGTGCTATAATGAAATCATAAAGATGAGGACAATTATTCTTCCAAATTTTGTATTCCTCCTTCCGTAAAAAACTTTCACCTAAATCATTAACATTAAGATTACTCATCTTAACATCAAGGTTTACACCTTGCTTTGCATACTCTTCTACATAGTTTCTAATAGTAAAATTCACATCACCATTTTCCCTCTCCATAATTCGTCAACACTATTCTACCACCTCTCTTACCACACTCTTCTCCCAACTCGTAGAACACAATATATATAGAGATTGAATTGATTGTTTATAATATTAATAGTGATATGGTGCGAGTATATTATGTTGCACCTGATCCCACACTATTATAATTTTTAGTATATAAAAGTATTTTATTTTTCCTAATCTTCAATATTTGGTTAAATATTTTATTCTTTAAATAAAAATATAAAAAATTCATATATTTTAGGAAGGTTGAAAATATTCCAAAAATAGAGAAATTTATTATAAAAAGGTTATTGAAAACACCTTGTCATTCTTATCTAATTAGCACGCTAATTTTATTTATTTTTATACTATATTATTTAATATTTATTTTTTATTGCTATATATATATATATATATATATATATAACAAAATCAAAGATATATATATATATATATATATATATATATATATATATATATATATATATATATATATATATATATATATATATAACAAAATCAAAGACCAAAATACAAAACAAACAACAAATATAATCAGAAAATAATAACACTTTAAATATAACAACAAAACAGAAAGAGAAAACAAACAAAAAAAAACAACCAACAAACAATATGCCTAAGCAAAACCAGGTCACAAAAATAAGGACAAATAAAAAAAATAAAACAACTAATAAATAAAACGCCCGAGTAAAACCAGGTCACAAAATCAGAGGCAAAACATAAAGATAAAATAGACAAACAACACAACTAACAAATAAGATATCTGAGTGAAACCAAGTTACAAAAATAGGGATAAACTAAAAATACAAAACAATCAACAAATAAAACACCCAAACAAAACCTGATTACAAAAAGAAAAACCAAAAGAAAAAACAGACAAACAAAACAACCAATAAATAAGACGTCTGAGAAAAACCAAGTCATAAAAACTAGGAAAAAGTAGAAAGATGAAACAAACTAACAAAACAAGAGGCGGAAGGAAAACTAGATCACAAAAGAATGTTATATTTATTGATAATGACAAAAAAGAGTAAATAATATTTAATTAAAACATTTTTTTAATTATTTTATTATGTTAATGTTGGTAAAGTCTTTTTTCTTTTTTTTTTTAATAATTATTTTATTATGTTAACGTTGGTAAAGTCTTTTTTTCTTTTTCTTTTTAAATAAAGTTATTTATTATTGGGTTAAATACATGTTACTCATGTATTATGAGTGACTTTTGGTTTATCCATTCGATTCCCCTTGTATTGTAAAGATTATGTTGTTTTACCCATTTGGTGTAAAGTTGGTAAGGAATATTCTCTTATGCTAATGTGGCATGTTTAGGTGGATTTTTTTATGTAAAAAAATAAGTTTAATTGCAATTTTGATCCTCTATTTTTATTTTTATTTTTACTTTTGACTCCCCTATTTTAAAATCCGGAATTTGTGTCCCCCTATTTTCATTTTTGTTGACTTTTGATCCCTCTATTTTAAAATCTGAGATTTTGGTACCCTTATTTTCATTTTTTTAGACTTTTGGTCCCTTTTCACGATTGGGAAGGGGGCTGAATTCCAAAACAAACTTAAAATAGGAGAAACAAAAGTAAAAAAATGATAATTGGGGGACTAAAATTTAGAATAATTATTATAATAGTTGTGATACAATATTTCAATGGAAATATAAATCATGTTGCATTGAAAATAATGATGCGTCCGCAAATGCAAGGAAATATTGAAGTAATATAAAAGATTTGTCGAACCCACAGAGAGCAATGTCAATCTACTGTTATCTATTGTTGTGATGTAAAGCTAAGGCTAATGGAATTAGGAAAGTAAAATGCGAATGAAATTAAATTTAAAGGAAATAAAGGTTATTAGTTTTAGAAATATATTGATAAGGGATATCGGTATGCAATGCCTTAGTTATCGGGGATTCGACAGGTCACGGGTGCTTTTTAGTTTTTGCAAATACTTTTCAGGAGAAATTAGTCGTTTAAAGACCTTTGCCTCACGCTGGTTGTTGACTCGGGTCATAATTCTAAAGCGTAATGTACGCTCTTGCAGTCCCATTCGGGGTCAAAACTACGTTTTGAAAACAAATAAATTCTGATTTCTTTTAAAGCGCTTTTACTGTGTTTAAAATCGATGCCTAGTTTTTACTATCCGGTTCAAACCCCACGCTCTCACGTGCTGGCTCAAACCTTAATAAGTTTCTCACTCTCATGGCAAAACCGTTGTAAATAATTTCTCACTCTCGTGACGAAGGTTTATTTAGAAAATTAAATTAAAAACTACAGCCAGAAAATTGTTTGTAAAAAAGGTAATGGCACCGGGTGTTATCGAATCTCATCCAACTAATTTGTTTACATACCGATAAAACTAGTTTAGCTAGACATAATAATTAATGCAAACATAAATAAACATAAACAGCAAAATGATATAACATGCATAATGAAGGAAATAAAATAAGTATTCAATTAATAAGAACCTGGAAAGTAGTACTGAAATTGAATTCTCGAGTAGTCCTCCACAATGTCGGCAGGATTCTACTATGGCGAAATAAAATTGCAGAAAGAAATACAATGCTCTGAACTAAAGGGAAAAAGGAAAGAAAATAAAAGAAACAATACAAATGGAAAAATGACTTCAACAGAACTTTGGTAGCCCTTCGGGACGTAGAATCCACCCCCCCCCCCTTGAAGCTGTGAATCTAAGGCCTATTTATAAGAGATATTTCATTTCTCAACTTCCAGAGATCATGCATGAGTTATGGAGGAAGTGGGAGTAACTTTCTGTAGTAGGCAGTTAGTGGAGAAAGTGTAAGAGAGAAGGAGAAAGTATAGGAAGAAATTAAGTTGAGGGTGTTCGTGGCCACTTTTGTTTTGAACGAACTGAACTTGGGGCCATGACGATCTTGACGAGCTTATGACGATCGTCACACTTAAGTGATGCTCGTGACGATCGTGGTGGAGTCTGTGACGACCGTCACACCTACAAAATCTGCTTTTCTGTTTTTCTTATCTATTTCTTTCTTTCTTCTTTCTTTTCCTTCAATTTCTTCTTCTTTTCTTTCTTTAATCTAAATTCTCCACAATCTGCAAAACATAGTAAATTAATCGTATAATAGAACATAAATCAAGATAAATTAACAATAATCGCAAATAAATTCATGTAAGTCAAGTCAAATAAGCGATATATTTTCGCGTTATCAAATACCCCCAGACTTAAACCATTGCTTGTCCTCAAGCAATCAACCAACACGGTAAAAAGAAATAAGCATAGTTTGAAACAAAGACACGATGAGACTCTAATCATATGTGGCTGCTAGGCTAATGTTAGATCGATAGGTACTAAATATCAATACCAAGGATACCGTAACGACGCAACTTCAAAAACTCCCTACTTATGCAGACCAACCTGAATCATGCCATTATAACTCAACCTATATCTCATGCTCTCTTTCACCCCATTTCATTCTAGTGAAATCACATTAAGCCCATTATCCATACACATTCATGGCAAGTAAACCTGTTAATGACTATGATCTCATTGTTATTTCATTTTTCTCTACAAATATGCTTAAGCATCAATTGAACTTAAAGAGTTTGTACCGTTGGGCTAAGTGATCGGGTGAGGAGCACCTAACTTAGAAGGAACATGTCTTTTTATTCATAATTTTTTTCTTTCTTAATTTCTCATTTTAAACCAGAGATCATACACTTATTTGCATCGGTTTCTTACTTAGCGTGTTTAGGATGGTGCTGACTGCTTAAATAAACTACATAGAGATTACTAAAAAAACCTGGAGCTTTAAGGTCTCGGCATAATGGGTACTCAAATTGATTTTGCATATTTAGCAGGTTAAGGGTGTCAGAATGATATCAATTTTATCAAAACTTTCTCAAGCTTTTCTAACATAGCCTAAACAGGCTATATACTCTCAGTGTACCATGTCATGAATCGAAGCAAAAAATTGTTGGAGGTTAAAATTTTGAAATTTTGAAATTTTGGGGAAATTGAATAACAAGTGAAAACCACGTATAAAGACTCGACAGCACATGCAAAGACTTTGACATAATGTTAAAAATAGATAAAATTCCTAAAAGTATGAAATAAAATATAAAACAATAAATCAAACTAAAAAGCGATAAAATGAAAGCGGTAGAGTTCCTCCCCCACACTTAAACCAAACATTGTCCTTAATGTTTTAATAAAAGGTGGAAAAAGGAAAGATAGAACCTATATGAATGCTACTGCATGCCAAATCTTCTCTGATCCCCCCTTGCTATCGTTGTCGTCACTGACCACTTCTACTCCGGCCTATGGCATTTTGAGATATCTTTGTGTATGTAATTCTCGAACTAGCTCATCATGTTGCCCGCTTCTAGAGGAAGTACTCATCATCAGTGTCACCACCAGCAGCGACACTCGTAGGAATGTCTGTGGGCATAGCTCATCTTCTCACAGCGTCATCTAGTAATAATAGTTCGAGGTTGGATGTATCAAAATCTTGCGGTTCCTCAAAATATTGGGAGTGGTAACTGTAGAGGAAATTTGGGTGAGAGTGCGTCGTATTGAAATCCTCCAATAATATTTCGAGGTCAGATTTAAGCGGATCTTGTGGTTCCTCAAAATATTAGGGGTGGTACTTATAATATTGGGGGTGGTAGTTATAAGGGAAATTTGGGTTATACATAGTAATTGAGATAAGAGTGCCTTAGTCTATACTATGCAACAACGGAATCACAATATTGACTGTTGGTCCCCGGCAACGGCGCCAAAAACTTGATGTATCCACAAGTGCACAGAAATATCGAAGTAATATAAAAGATTTTTCGAACCCATAGAGACCAATGTCAACCTACCGTTATCTATTGTTGCAGCGTAAAGCTAAGGCTAATGGAATTAGGAAAGTTAAATGCGAATGAAATTAAATTTAAAGGAAATAAAGGTTATTAATTTTAGAAATATGTTGATAAGGGATATTGGTATGCAATGCCTTAGTT